ACAGCAGGGGAAAACAGACAGGCAGGCAGAGTGATAACTGGGAGAACATACATAACCTAGGTTACTGGACACAGGCAGGTACAAAGTGAGCTAAACAGAACCTGCGAAAGAACAATGAAATAAACAAGGCCAAACAGAGAACACAAGACAAGGAACAAAACTCCGGGGTAGGGAACAGAGACAGAACTAACCAGGAAACAGGACAACACTCAACAAGGAACAGAACGGAAATAAGGAAAATACCAAACACCACTAAACACTAGCTGACAGATAATAAGTAGGTGAATAATAACCCAGACTAAATAACAGATACCAAACTCACAGTGAACTAAACTCAACAGAACAGAACTAAAAAGTGGATGCAAAACCCAAATCAAATCAAGAACCAAAACCCAGAAACAGAGAAAACAAAATCAAAACACAGTGTCAACTAGACACAAGACAACAGACAGGACTGAAACCCAAAACACCGACTAAATGACACATACAGAAAAGACTAGAAATAACAAAACTGACTGAAACTAACTAAACAGAGCAGAGCAGACACGCCCACAGTGTGACAAATAGTGCCAAATTGTTTGTTTGCCAAATTGCCGCACAATGGACCATATATTTACCCTCCAGACTCTATTTGATCAAGAATTAAACATAAAGAAAAGAAAGGTATATGCCTGTTTTGTTGACTTCCAAAAAGTCTTTGATTCCATCTGGCATGAGGGCCTTTTCTATAGGCTACTTGAAAGTGGCATTGGAGGGAAAACATATGATTTGATTAAGAACATGTATACAAAAAGTGAATGTGCCATAAGATTGGAAAAAACAAACAGCGTTCTTCTCCCTGGGCCGGGGAGTGAGGCAGGGATGCAATCTCAGTCCAATTCTCTTCAATCTATACAGTATATCAATGAATTAGAAAACCAATTAGAGAGTTCCACGGCACCTGGCCTCCTCCTGAACGACACAGAGATCAGAGGTCTGCTGTATGCAGATGACTTAGTGTTGCTCTCACCTACTAAAGAAGGTTTGCAGCAGCACCTTAATCTTAATCAGACCTGGGCCCTGACAGGAACACAGCAAAGACTAAGATAATGATCTTTCAGAAATAATACAGAAATCAGGTTACACACAATTTCTATTTAGACACCACTAAATTACAACACACAAAAAACTACACTTACCTTGGCCTCAACATTACATACAAAGGGAACTTCAACATGGACGTGAAAGATTTGAGGGACAAAGCAATGAGAGCTTTCTATGCAATAAAAAGAAACATTAAAATCTATATTGCAATTGAAATCTGGCTTAAAATTTTCCAATATGTACTAGAACCAATAATTCTTTATGGTAGCGAAATCTGGGGGCCAAAACTTAATAATGAATTTGACAAATGGGACAAAACAATCATAGAATCTTTCCATACTGAGTTCTGTAAGAGCATCCTGCAGGTGCAGAGTAAGACACCAAATAACCAGCTCGGCCAATACCCCCTCCTACAAAAAATACAGAAAAGATCACTTAAATTTTACAATAACTTAAAGTCAGTTAACCCCCAGACATATCATCACAAAGCCCTAACATACCAGGAGCTGAAACCAGAGAAGAGTCCCCTCAGCCAGCTGGTTCTGCAGTAACAAGTCCCCAACAGCCTCAGGACAGCAATACCAACTCAAGCAGACTAAACCACATTATCAGCAAGCAGAAAGAAAAATATATTGAATACTGGAAAGAAACGACCAAAACACAAAGTAAATTCCAATGTTATCTGACCCTAAAAAGAGAATTCACACTGGCAAATTACCTGAATACAATAAAATGTCCCAAACTAAGAAAAATGTTGACAACATACAGACTGAGTGAACACAGCCTGGCCATAGAAAAGGGTCGCCACAGACAGAGCTGGCTACCACAAGAGGAGAGACTCTGCTCCCAGTGTGACAGGGGACAGGTAGAGACAGAGCTGCACTTTCTAACCTCATGCCCTAAATATAAAACACTAAGACAAAAACACTTTGCAAACATTTCCCAAATATACCCCAAATTCGAATTCATATCAGACACACAGAAACTCCCCTATTTACTGGGAGAAATGCCCAAATGTGAAATAACTGCTGCAAAATATGTCTCCTCATGCCATGAATAATTGTACAGATTTTCAAATTATTATTATTTTGATCATTTGATATTTTAGTAATTGTTTTGTTTTTACATTTGATTGATTTTTTTGATTATTATTTTTAATCAATTAATTATTTTTAAAAAATTGTCTTAATATATACACACACACATGTTACTGTTTCATTTATTTATTTTATTTTTAATATATTTTTTTATTTTTTTAACACACACACACACACGCCTACTGTTTTATTTATTTATTTTAATTTTTAATATTTCTTCTTTTTTTTTTAACACAAACACACATAAGCTTTGATTACTTTACGCTTTAATTACTTGTTTGATGAAATGTATGTGGTTGATTTTTCTTATGTTGTATGTATGATGCTTTAGCAATATTGTTGTTACACATTCATGCCAATAAAGCTAATTTGAATTTGAATTTGAATTTAGTGCCCATGGAAGCACAAATTGTAAATGGTAAACCATAACCTAAAAGACAACATAGAGTGTATTTGCAAGTATTTAAGTAAAGTATACATACTATCATATATTGTAAAACCTGTTCTGCATATAAATTGATGTAGAAATGTTACATGATTGTTAATTTGTCATTATAGGCCTACAACACAAGGTTGTATAACTAAACAAGCATTTGTGGTCCCTTCATGCTACACACACAGAACTTACCAGATAATAAAATGTGTATAAAATATGGTAACATTTACATGAATAAAAACAATAGGCTATATACAGTTATTTATACAGCTTATGTTATTATAGGTACACCAAGAGCACTGTTGAAAGTTCAATTGTGTGCACACTTCACAAAGAGACATCACCCTGGGAATCTACTGACTCCGGCTACGGCACGTTACGGTTGCGCCACGGTTTTGACGCATCCACTGCCAAAGTCCACTGGAAACGTCTCAGAAGCGTCTCAGAAGCGTTTCAGCAGCGTAGCTGCTTGTTATTAATTTGTCATTTTTGTGCTTCTACTACCTTCTTCACAGCTCTATGTGACCCCATTAGATTCTGTCAACTTCAGGCTGCATTTCCCACAAGAAGCATTTCAGAATCAGAGCATTTTGCCTGATTTTGCTGACATGTTTAGATTTTGTTGATTTGGTAATCTGTGTTTGCATTTTGTGCTTCTACTAGGCTACGTAGTTAAATGATTTCCTTTTGTGTCAGTTTTAACCGTGTTAATTGTGGTTTTACAATCGGGGAGTCTACACAGGGTGTTTTATTTTGAAAATTGACCGGATTCTCTCTGCCATTCTGTGTCTGGCTTCCTGCCTGGTTCGATCTGCTGACGCGGCTTGCGGCAAAAATAGACCTGGGCGACTGTGGCTCATTTTTTACTGTAATTGCTGTGATTAGTTATTTGCGTTAGTGGATTTTAGCCGTCAGTTTGTCAAGGTCAGCAATGTTTTTCGTTCACTTTCGGTGTCATGCACCAACATGCACCTGGAATACTTTGAGGTCAGAAGTCGGATATTTCTACTTTTCCAGTTCTGAGCAGTCTGGAACACAGCATTAACTTTTGTCATTGACTCATTCTAAAAAAACTCTGCCTTCACCAGACGAACACACCTCTTTTAAATGAATGCGCACCAGCGCCAATTAAGTTAACATAGACTCAACTAACCAACATCTTATTCACTGTTGTAGTCCATTTTAAAGATTCAGTGTGTAGGATTTAGTGCCATCTAGCGATGAGGGTTGTGAATTGCAGCCATCTGTCCAGTCTACCACTGCCCCCTAACCTTTCAAAGAGCGTAGGGCAGCTACAGTGTCTCTTCTGAGACAGCGGAGAATGGCCAGTCAAGAAATTAGATTTCTTTAGGTATATTTATTAAGAAATTAGATTTACTTAATTATTCAGTAAACCAAATGTTATTGTGACTTGGCCACTGACAGATAACATGGACAATCTAAGCCAAGATTGTGTAACATTGTCACTATTTCTGCACCACAGTCCATTATAAATCACACATTAGATAAAGTTTATACAAACATTAACAAGGGAAACACATTCATTCTCTCTGTGATTATGGATCCTCGCCAAAACTACCTGCCAGCAATAATATTAGGACAGCAGCCAGATTATGGTGCTTTGATAGCGGCAAAAAATATGGCAAAAAATATAAATAAATAAATACTTTGATAGCTGCTGAAATAGATCTCAGTCATGACAGCAACAGTTACTCACATAATCACTTCCTCTTTAGTAGTTTGCATACAAAAGCGCTAGAAGCTTGTTTATTTATGCAGTATTTGGAGTTGAACTGAGCTTTTACTTTGAAAAATTCTGAACGACATTAAAAGAGTCTGTAGCCTGCTTGACACACCTCTGAAAAAGCCCTCAGAAAACGTGATTCCCCCAAATGTTCTCTGCCTGGAGATTCTTGGGAAATGAAAAGGCGTGCGTAGGTCGATGGATGTGGATTAAACACCGAAACAAAAACAGCACATGCCATTATCTGGGAAACATTCGCTGCAGAATCCATTTGTTGAAGAGAGAAAAAAAAAGTTAGCCATCTCTGAGTTTCCTTGATAACCCTGAGTTAACTCTGAGTAGGTTAAACTCTCTACATAGTAGCTACAGGCCACATGTCTGTAATGTTCACTCCTGAAACCCTGAAATAACCCCAAGCTTCCCTTCTTATAAATTAAAATATGACCCCCCCCCCCCCACACACACACACACTGAGTTTAAAAGCCAGTTTTCTGCACTTTTTTTCCTCCACTTTAAACCACGTGTAGGGTTTCAGCCCCCAGTGACAGACAGATTGGCTGACCAATGAAAACGTGAGGATTTCTCTCTTTATGGTACCAATCTCTGACATCAGCAAAGGCCAGCCCGGGCTGTGGAGGCGTGTCCATCGCTACAAAGTCACTCTAGCCCGAATTACTGCAACTTCTCCAAGTTTAGGAAAAGTTGGCCAGTCAGCTGAGCGCTGTACAAAGCGAAGCAGGACCCTCACACTGAAACCATCCGCCTCTTCCCCACCCTGCTTTGTTTTATCATGCATATCAACCATGTTGCCCATTTGCTCCTCTCTTTTCTCTGCATCGCATTGACTGGTAAGTACTGACTCGGAACTCTGTAGCTCTCTGCTTTGTACTCTGCCTCTGCTAGAGAGGTTACCTTAAACTAAAGCGGTTTAACTGAATGTATATAGATCAATTCTAGGGCGTCTGCTGTATTTTCTTCCTGTGTGGTTGTAAGATTCCCTCAGCCAGTGAGTCAGTTGAGTCATGACTGCAGTAATGACTTGCACACTGTTTCCTATAGTCGCGGGCTGCGGATTTCTGCAGATCACAAGTTTAGCTCTGGAGTTGAATGAGGTTGTGAGAGTCACGGAGCATAACAGCAGACAGTTCAGGCAGTTCACCAAGTGAGGACAGGAGGCTATTTTTGTTTGATGGATACTGTCCCTCTCCACAGCCCATTCTAAGGTGGAGACAGATGAAGTGGTTCCCAGGCTGCTGTCCCTTCAGGAGGCACACCTGTCCTCCGGCCACACCGACCGCACACAGCGGCGCCGCGGTCAGCGCTCCCTGGACGAATCCGGGGAAGGACCCTCTGACCCGTTGAATATTATTCTGTCACTTCCCGCTTTTGGAAGGATCCTGTATTTAAATCTGACGCGGGACAGCGTGTTTCTCTCGAGGGGCTTCGCGGTGGAGGAGAGGCACGGGGACCGGAGCGCAGCAGTGAGCCGCTTATCCATGAACCAGCTCTGCTTTTACTCCGGCTTCATCGTCAACCACACGGATTCTCTGGCATCACTGACCACCTGTGGCGGCCTGGTAATCTTCCAATCTTCATTAATTTTGGACTTGTTGATAGGTTCAATCCGAGCAGTTGAACTCCAGACCATTCCATTTTAAATGCTCTGGAAAGGCAGGCTAGATCACAGCCAGGGCCGTAGCCATGTTTTGAGAACCCTAGTCCCACTGGGGGTGGGGGATAGCTGTGCTTTTTGGAGCCAGGGACACTGCTTACCTAATGTAGCTACTGTAGAACACTGCCAAGTTTGTAATTTATTTATTTATTACTCTTGGGTTTGGGGTAAGCTGGCAAGGTTGGAAATAAGTAATTTTAAATTTGTTGGTTGCTACGTCCACTAAAAATGGCATGTTCAAAACAAGGAAAGAAGAGGTGCTGGAAAATGTTTGACTAGGAAAATTACAATTTAATTCAAACTTTATTTGCAAAATTCTATTTCACAGATTCAAGGACCTTGTATAAAATTGTTGAAAAGATACATGGGCCTAATATCTCTTTAAATTACATATATATAACAATGCATTCTATGGCCTTTAACATGTATCAAAAAACTTTAATTAATAGCCCAGGCTTTTATTTAGGTTATTTATTTACTGAACTCATGCTGCCTGTATTTGGGACAGACCTTTAATTCCTTTACCATGTGGGATATCTCAATGCATTATACTGGTGCTCATTGTTTCTGCAAAATGAACTAAATGAGAGAGATAGATATATATATATATATATATGATAAATATTTAAATTGGTATGCACGATCTTAGCATATCTAAGCTTACCATATTGGTAAGGCTAGTAATGTGCTGACTGACTGTGTAGTAAGTGTAGCGTGTAAACAGGTTACAGCCTCCTCGCCCATGGAGTGAAAAGAATTTCAAGACCAACTTCTTACATGTATCTCAGAATGTAACGAGTTGTGCTAGCAGACGATGCCAACCTTTGTTCACAACCACAGACTGCATAAGAGACGTGCACGTTGTCATTATGTCACCCGTTTGTTTCTGGACTACCGTTTTGAAGCCTCGGGTTTGCCATTTTGGCCGTTGCAATCTTAGTTTTTTGGAGTCAGACGTGACTGGATGTGACCATATTTGGACGAGAGGGTGGCACTAGCTAGCTTTGTTTGTAAGGCGCATCCATAATTCTTGTTAACTGTGAAATAAACTGGGATGCTAATTTTGGCTAGCGAAAAACAGGCTTAAAACAAAATGTACTCCTAATAAGCTTTTTCAATGCCGCTTGTTAAATGGACACAGAGCAGTTGCTTTAGGGGTGGCTGTGGCTCAGGAGATAGAGTGAAAGGTCAGCGGTTCAATCCCTGGCCCCCCCTGGGGTGCATGTTGAAGTATCCTTGGGCAACATACTGAACCCCGAATTGCCTCTGGTGGCTGTTCCACCAGTGTATGAATGTGTGTGAATGTTAGTTTCTGTTTGAGCACTTAGGCTCAATGAATAAATGTGTGTGAATGGTGAATGGAGATGTAGTGAAAAAGCGCTTTGAGTACAAGTACAGAGCATTTACTTTGTCCTGATTGATAGGTCGTCATGGTAGCGACTTGTCAACCACAAGATAGGCGCATCCTAACCCTTGCTTTTATGTTTTCCGATAAATAGGACCATAACTTACTAAATGAACATCTCATTAGGAAAGTGTTTACTGAGGTAATAAATCAGCTGAGAAGTAGGGCCATTTTACTACACTACAACATGATTAACGATTTGTTCGGATTGATCAGGGCTATTCTATGCTAACTTGTTCACAGTAAAGTACAACGATAGCTGGAATCAAGTAACACTTGCATATATTCTGAACTTACCAGGTTCAACTTCCTGGCTTACATTCCTCCAAGAAATGTCCAGTTTAGTCCGATTTTTATTTACTACTATGAAGTAGTATCACATAGCTCTGGGTGCCCACTGACTATAACAACAGTGGAAACCGAATGTATGCGGTGGCTTGCTGCTGAGAAGCTGGAGTGAAGATAAATTAACGTTTTAATCCCAAAAATAACAAGGGGGGGAAAAAATTCATAGAAGCATTTAACTCTGAACTTCTCCCGCCAGTATATGGTGCAGATGTAGCGAGCAGAATCTAGTATGACTGTGGGTGTTTATTTGTCCAAAAGCTCATCTACGGCTTGCCGTCACTCAGCAGCTGTCTGTCGGCCAGCACAGATTTAGTAACTCCACTGTGTCTGGTCTTCTCCAAACACTCTGAAGCCGTCTGTGACGTCCAGGAAATCTCAGTGCTGATAGGCTTACACAACACAGCATCATGCAGCTTTCTTGCTTGAGTTGAACATTTTCAATAACAGATTAGGGTCACGTTATGTTTACTTGGGGCATCTTATAGGGCAGGAAACAACAGGAATGTCAGGAATGTCGCCGGCAGCGTGTCCTCCCTACAGCCCCACAGGAAATCACGTCTGCCCACGTCTTTGCATTGCCTTTGTATAGAATTGCGATGCCCTGAACCTTCGCTTAGCGTTTGGTCTGAATGCACAGTTAGGAAAAAATGCGGGATTAAGGCACTTCCCATTGGCTTCACTTTCAGACCGGAGTTTCAGTTCCCGCATGTTCACAAAACACCGAACAATTAATTAGTAGCAGACACGTTGAGGATAGACCAGGCAATTTCAACTCCTGATTATACAGTTATATAAGGCAGATTTTTCTTTTATCTTAGATTTTTTAAAAAGGAGTAATTATCGAGGTCTGAAATGAAACCATACTGTACAGCCATTGGGGCATTGTTGAATTCCTGTGGAGATCCCAGTTTTGCAAAGAATCTGTCTAGCTGAAACTTGGGGAAATGATGCAGAAGAGACATTAACATACACACTGTGACCTGCACTGTCCATTTACTGCCAGACTGAAACCTGGCGCTCATCTTTTCCACTGCTCCACTCACTTTCACCGTCACCTACTGCTGCCTGTCACATAGTTATCCTTTGAAGAATAAGGAGAGGAGACTAGCTAAGCACTACCGTGCTACACAGTGTGCGAGTGAAAATTATTAACGTTAGTTGCATATTGATTTTATTGATAATGTGAAAGTTTAGTAGCGGCAATCTTTCATTCAACAGCTGCCTGCTTGTGCCAAACAGGGAGAACACGTCTCTGTTATGTGCACCGCACAGATTGTCCGTTGTTGCACTTCCGCATATCTGAGTCTGCCTTTTTCGTTCCGTCAACATTACGTTATCAGTCAACCTTTTTAGATAATCGATTGACATTTGTGAATTGATTCAGAATCGTCCAAGTCCACATTGTGATGCATCTAAAAATCTATTATTTTCTTTAGCCTATTATAAAATTGGTCTAACATTCATTGCACGTTCCAAACCTCAACAGGAACCATCAGCTTCAACAACAAGTCTGCAACAATATCTATCATATAACTTTTTATTTTTTTATGTTATGCCCCTATTCCTGTTTTTTATGTTATGCCCCGATTTACCATGGGTTATTGACTAGCCAGAACAGGATGAACAGTCTAAGACTGCTGATCTTTCAAAGTTGTATTTGGTGTTTGCAATAAAAATGTTTAGTTTAGGAGCTATGTCCTTCCAAAGTGAAGGGTTTTACAGCTTTTAGCAGACTGTAGAGCGTGTCATGTGATCACGAGAGTGAGGGGAGGAGGATTTGGCAGTCCTGAATTATTTTTTTTAAACTGCTGCCAGCTGCGTATATTTATCTCCATAAGCACAAAAAAGGCGGCAAAATGTAGTCACATACCTTTTCTCCCTCAAAATGTCAAAATCCTGCTCAGTGGACGTTTACTGTTTTTATCTCTGATCCTTAATTGATTGGAAACTCTGTCGTCTCTCATTCACTCCCTGTTGTAGCTGCAGCCTGAGGTCTCCCCCTGTCACTAATTCTTTAACTTGCTGTATCTTCCTCCCTGTTTGGAGTTTGGACACAAGATGTATATTTTTATGCTCAGCTACTCAAGCACTAACTAAGAAGTTGAAAATGATAGTTAAAAAGTTTTTTTTAAGCAAATACACTTTTTGTATCAACAAAGGATCACATCATCTCAGTACTAGCAAGCTGGTGGCGCAGTTAGACTGCAAGCCATGTAGCAGTACCTCTTATTCCAGTCGTGAGTTCCAATCCCGCAGCCGGCAGCAGTGATAATTGGTTTCAACTTTAAACACCATACAGGTGTTTAAAGTTGAAACCAATTATCAATGATAACAAAAAACTAAACATGTCTTCTAACTTAAAACACCAAAAGGTTGGTTAAAAGCTCTTTTTTAAGCAAATGCACTTTACCATCAACAAATGATCAAACTGTGGCTTCATCAGATGTGTCTCTCTATGGCTCGCTTGATTAGAGGGCTGATTTCCCAAGCATCTCTTTTCCCAGGTTCGAATCCCACCTCCGGTAGCATTGATAAATGCTTTGAACTTCAAACACCTGTGTGGACACAGTCTTGCAGTAGTCTGTTTTAAATGTGTTTGTTGTTAGTCTTTCTAAATGAATTGTAATTGGGAGCGAGTTAGGCAACAAATGATCAGGTTAAAGATGAGTAACCATTTGCGAGAGCGTGAGACGCAGCGTGCTTCGCTTGTTACCACATCACGTGATGATGTACTGGGACATAACGTGTCATTACTGGGTGCTCCTTTGCACCACTTAGAGGACATAGGAAGTGAAAGTATTTTGTGCAGCGTCCAAAGTGCGTGACACTTCAGAGCAATACTACCTGTTGCGCTTCACGTGCGAGGACCTGTCCAACGCTGATTGCTGCTTTAATATTTAACTGAATTAGTCTGTGGCATGTGTTTTACCTGTAGGTTGCGCTACTATTAAAATTCTACTTTTCTTTACTCTAAAACCTCCTCATAGGAATCATGAGGAATAAAGATGAAACAGGAGAAATGTTTAATCTTGCACGTCTCTGCTTTGTGAGTAGATGGGGCTCATCCAGATCGGGGAGGACATCCTGTTCATTCAGCCGGTAGGTGAAAACAACCCATCACAGTCATTCTCCGGACTTAAACATCAGTTGCTGCGACACCAACGCGCTACCAAGACCAGCTCTGCTCAAGATGCTGACCAGCCCAACTTCTGTGGGACTGTACGAGGTGAGTGACGCAGAGAGCTAGACTGGATGGTACAGGATCTGGGATTATGGTCATACTAATCTCAATGTTACTTGGGTTTTGGGTATCGCCCAATGCTGGGCACTGATGAGATACTTATGTAAACTAAATGTGCTGTATTTCTCACTTTGAGGAAGAGTCTGCGAATAGCGTTCTTTGGCATGATGCTTCTGGAGGTGCTTGATTAAGCTGCTTGTGTTATATTTTGCATTGCTACCGCGCCCCCTGGAAACTTTGACTTTGATATAGCAGATATTGCAAGTAGAGCCTTACCAATATGGGTTTTGGGGGTGATAAAGTGTTAAAGAGCCGATTTATATGGCTATATTTTGATTTGGATAGTAGACCCCTTTCCTGTATAAACTACACTTAACAGCTTTCAATATTGCCCTGTTTTATGTATGTGGGCTATAATACCTTTTTCTGAATGGAAATGTGAAAGAAAGCCTTAGACTACAGTCTCAACAATTGAACTACTTGATTCATTCTACATAAATGTCTCAAACAAGGACAAGCAACTTTGAGATTTCACACTAACGCCAGGAAACCACTGACTTCGGCTACGGCACGTTATGGTTGCGCCACGGTTTTGATGCGTCCATAACCCGGCATCGAAGTCCACTGGAAGCGTCTCAGAAGTGTCCCCACATTATTTACTTGTTATTAATTTGTCCTTTTTGTGCTTCTATCTTCTTCACAGCTCTTTGTGACCCCGTTTCGTTCCGTCAGCTTCAGGCTGCATTTCCCACAAGGAGCATTTCAGAATCAGAGCGTTTTGCCTGATTTTGTTGACATGTTCAGAATTTGTTGATTTGGAAATCAGTGTTTTGCATTTTGTGCTTCTACTATGATTAAGTAGGCGACGTAGTTAAATTATTTCTTTTTGTGTCTGTTTTAAACGATCGGGAGTCTACACACGGCGTTTTATTTTGAAAATTGACTGAATTCTCTCTGCCGTTCTGTGTCTCGATCTGCTCTGTGCTGCTTGACGCGGCATGCATCAAAAATAGACCTGCTACCTATTCTCTGTGGAGCAGAGAGCTGCTTGCGGCCGCGTCTGGTATAATGGCTGCGATTAGCTCTGGCAACCGCAATGCAGCCGTAACGCGCTGTAGCCGGAGTCGGTGGATTTTAGCTGTTAGCATAGGCGGAAATCACGGGGGGGACATGTCTACTGCCTGCTTTCCCTCACAGGAGTCTGGTGGGGGAAAACCAGTTCAAATCCGTCAGTACTTGTGGAGCTCCAGTCATGTTAAATTTTATGCACTTTAAACATTGGATGAACTGATTATTTTGTCTTTAATAAAGATGTTGCTGAGTCATTAATAAATTAATCATGACAAAAGTTATGATAACTGATTATTTTATGATCTATACCCACTCTGTATTACAGTGGGTATAGAAAAGAATCCCCCCCCCCCCCCCCTTAAAATAATCACATTTTGTTGCTCTGCAGCCTGAAATGAAAATGTACAGACACAGTTTTTGTTTCATTCAGCTGTATTTACAACTTATAACATCCAAGTGAAAGATATAATACCAACTTGTCAGGAAAAAAAATTACACATTAAAAAACAGAATAACCCCCTCCTAAAAAAATTACTTGTAAACCCAACCAGGTGTAATTAATCACCTTCTCAATAGCACACAAAGCCAACTGACTTTGATTAGCTCAGCATGAAACAAGCTTTTCCTGAAGCATTTCAGTCCTTGGTAGTGCAACTGAAGACAACAATCAACTATGGGTGGCAAGGCATTGTCAAAAGATCTCCAGGATAAAGTTGTAGACAGGCACAAGTCAGAAGATGGATACAAAAAAATTTCAAAGGCTTTATCAGTGCCTAGAAGCACAGTGAAGTCTATTATTAAGAAGTCGAAGGTATTTGGTACAACACAGACCCTCCCTGGGTCAGGACGTCGCTCCAAACTGGATGAAAGAGCCAGGAAGAAACTGGTCAGAGAGGCTACCAAGAGGAATTCATGACAAAGAGTGGTCATTGTGTGCATGTGAAAACAATATCACAAATGTGGCTTGTATGGGAGGGTTGCAAGAAAAAAGCCACTCCTCAAGAAAGGCCGCATGCAGTCACAACTGAGCTTTGCCAAAACGCACCTTGAAGACTCGTGGATAAAAGTGTTATGGTCAGATGAGACTAAGGCGGCTTTCACACCTACCTCGTTTGGTCCGGACTTTCGGACTTTTCAGTTTGGTCTGAACCAAAATTGCAGGTGTGAAACCTCCTCCGGACCATGGTCCGGACCAAACAGACGGAATTTGGTCCGACCAAAAGAGGTAGTCATGATCAACCTTGACCATGGTTCGTTCGTTCATTTTTTGGATTGTTCGGACTTTCAGACTATTTACAGGAAGTTTGGCGGTTGCCGTTTAAACCGGAAACAAATAAATGCATTGAAATAAGGACACAATTATAAATCTCCTGTGACAGCTCATCTTTTGATACAGACGGCCACTAGGCCTATAGTATCACACTGCCACCCATCTCTCAATGAGGACGTTTAATTGCGAATTTGAACTAGCCTTCAGTATAGTTGGTGCTGCTGGTAGTAGCCTAATACCATAATAACAATGTAGTGGCAAATATGCATATGTACATTTTTTTTTTTTTTTTTATTCATTCATTCTTGTCAAAGCTCCCCGCTGAACTGTTTAATAAACCAATCAATGTCAAGTACAGGGAGACGCAGCCAACGTAGATGATGACGACGGGATGCAGGTCTGTCATGTCCTTTAGTGCGGTCACAGAATTGTGAAACCAAACCAACCGAAAAAACTAACTGAATGTATCAAAACACGAACTGTGATTCGGACCTTGGTGCGGACCTTCAGGTGTGAAAGCCCCCTAAAATTGAATTGTTTGGCCTCAATGCCAAACGATATGCCTGGCGAAAATCCAATACAGCTCACCATCCAAATAGCACCATTCCTATGGGATTGTTTCTCTGCAGCAGGGACTGGAGCACTTGTCAGGATAGAAGGAAAAACGGATGGGGCAAAATATTATCAAATTCGTGAGGAAAATCTGCTCTCTGCCAGAAAGTTGTTAGCGGGAAGAAGATTTACCCTCCAACGTGACAATGACCCAAAGCACACAGCAAAACTGACCACACAGTGGTTGAAGGAAAAAAGATGAATGTCCTTGCATGGCCGAGTCAGAGGCCAGACTTAAATCCCATTGAAAATCTGTGGAATGACTTGAAGACAGCAGTCCACAAACAGTCACCATCAAATTTAACTGAACTTGAGCAGTTCTGCAAAGAAGAGTGGTCAAATATTGCAACGTCTAGATGTGCAAAGTTAGTAGAGACAAATCCCGACAGACTAAAGGCTGTAATTAAAGCAAAAGGTGGTTCAACAAAATACTGAAACAAGGGGGTGATCCTTTTTCCAACTCAGTGATTATGTTTTTTTATTTTTTTCTGACATGTTGGTGTTATATCTTTCACTTGGATGTTATGAGTTGCACTGAGTAAATACAGCTGAATGGAACAAAAACTGTGTTTGTCTTCATTTCAGGCTACAAAGCAACAAAAACAGATTAATTTACAGGGGGGTGATTCTTTTCTATACCCACTGTAGAACATTACCTAGCTTATTTGGTAGCTTGTTTAACAACTTATTGGACTGGAACTCATCTTCTACAGCTAGAGATGCGCAGATCGATCAGCTGGGGAATGAATGGCTCCGACCAGTGACGGGCCGAGCAGTGTCAAATATCCAATTTTCTGCTGGTCACATTGCACATTACAATCAGGCTGCGCTGCGCCGTGTATCACTTGTGTGCACAGACAGTAACCTCGTGTCACAGCTGCACACACAGGCTAAAACATGTCTTAGGTGTGTGGAAGTTATTCACCAGTGTGAAGAAGACACAACGCTCACTACATCTGCAGAGAAACACCAAAAGAGACACTGTGGACATTGTAAAGCAGGGAGCAGGTAAAGCAACAGTGAACACAGCTGTTGGTGACGATGTCATTCAGACCACGATGGTCTCTATCGGTAATTAATAACAAGCCTCTTCCACACGCGGCTCATCTGCTGCTGAGTTCGAGTTCTTTTAAATAAAACGGCTGACAAATAACGTTATGGCAGACAGAGACACAGACAGACAGGTGTTGGTGTGTGCTTCTGTGTCTGATGGGGGAAAAGCAAGGTGAGCAGATTACTGTAGTTTGTGATTAAACACAAAAATAAATTGGAGAATTAAGTTGAAGTTAAGTTGGTCAGGCCTTTGTAATCTGTGCATCTCTTACTACAGCGATATTCCTGTGTGTGAACTGATATTAGGCTGAAACTGTAGATCAACCGTTGGGTTTGGTTTTGCACACTATAAGTGGCAGATCAGTTGGCCTGCTGCCGTTAAATATCTAATATATAGTATGTATGTATGTAGAAATGAGCACAATTGTCATGCAGTAGAGTTTCAATACTTGCATGAATTGTTAGACAACAAACAAGCTGGCAAATGTGTGACAGTAATCAGAAAGCAAAGAAAGATGTGAGATCCACAACAGAATATAAAAATTAAGTACTGGGCAACGATTAAAATTTTTTATCGCGATTAATCACATGATTTTCTTGTGATTAATAGTGAGTAATCACATTGTTACGCACAAAATTGAATAATGAATTCTAAAGTAGTGTATTGCTCATTTGTAATTTGAATGTACTGCTATATACACAAGTGCAATAATGTGGTTTGCAAACACTTTTACAAATAAAGTGCTTTTTACCAGCAGTGTTCCCTTTACACAGCAGCAATAAAATATTTCTTGTAAATCTCAAGTTAAACATTCATGTAATCAAATAAAACCAAAGCTATTTGCCACTGCCAGGGCATTACCTTTTATAGCTTGTTAAAACAAGTTACCATCAGAGTCCAGTTGTCTTGGGGTTTGGGGATTTTTTTTCTGAACAGGTATCAGCAGAAACATTTTTCTTTTATCAGGGAGCAGCTAAA